TTCTATATACTAAAAAAATGTTTATATATTTGAATAATAAAAAAAAATGGTTCTGTATATAAAAAATTTTGATAAGAAAATGTAAATAAAAATAATAATTATTTTTATTTTGTAAATTGTTTTTTTCATACGCACATGAGAAATTTAAATAATGATATTCAATTTAATATTGATGTAGTACAGTACACAGCAGTAATAATATGGTTTAAGACACGTTTATAATTTGCAAAACTTATATTATAACAAAATACAGTCACAATACTCTCAACTACTCCTGTTCATTATTATTTTTTATTATTATACAATTCTGTGTTTATATTTATTTTGTTATTGTTTACACCGTGTGTGTACTATCACCACAAAATATCGCTCACCGATTTGAATTGAGGACAAATGTGTGTTAAAAATTATAAATATTTTAAATTTAAATAATATTGCTAATTATAATATTTATTATTCAAATTAATAATGCAAAATAATTAACCACAAAATATAAAATAAAATAAATAGAATTATTTGTTTTCTTGAGCCATAATTTAAGGTAAAGTAGTCTACTTGTCTCCTAATATTGTTTAATGAAAAGTTTAATTGTTAAATATGTTTCTTTGAATTCCAGTTTTTAAGTAGAATTTGCTATAATCAGAAACACTAAATTTAACACGTAAATATTTTTTTCAGATTATATTGCGTTGAGAAAAGAACAAATGATCTGAATTGGCTTGAAATTACGATTAACATATACAAGGGACTTCATTTATTAAACGGGGCTTCCGCGAGGACATTATAAAACAAGCTTGCTAAAAAGGTAGAACGTATTTTCCCAATACGTAGAAGCTCATAATTGAAACTGGCGTCAGACGAGGGGAGTTGGTTTTATTCAGTATTTCGAGGGTAAAAAAAGTAGAAATTGGATTTAAATGAAATATGTAAGATGGAGAGTGTAGTGTATCAATTCTCACTAACTATCTTTGAGACAGATATAAATTACTATACAAAAAATCGCTAAATACAAATTTTTTTCTTTAAAATATTAATAAACTACTTATTATTTTTAATCATATCAAATGAAAAATCTTTAAATCATATTACTTATTAAGTACCTACATTAAGTAGTATATTTTAGTTTTTTGTTCAGCAAAAAAACGCATTTACATAATTTGTTAATTATCAACCTACATACTGTAAAATAATCTCGAAATATTTAAATTTTAAGAAGGAAAAACGTTATAACATTAAAGAGTATAGATAAACATTAATATTATTGTGATACGAGTAATCCTAAAAAAAAATTAATTTATCACATTATACATTGGTAAATCAACATTTTAATATTAACAAATTAATTAAAACCTACCTATATTTTTTTAATGTACGAAATGCTGGTATTTCAATGCAAATTTAAACAATTATTTACAGATAAATATTTGAATTTGTATAAGTAGTATGAAAGGAAAATATGCTAAGTCGAAAACTTGTGTTCGAAAAAATTAAAATTTATTTGAGAAATCAAAAATTTTTACTATTTTTATACGAAATTTTGGAACTACATATATGAGGGATGGTACTGATGAAATTTTCCAGAATATTTATAAAATAAAACAAAATTTAAATTTAAATTATTAAAATTATTATTTAAAACAAAAAAAACGCAATATGTTGAATTGAAACTAAAAAATTGTAAAATTCGACTTATGCAGTTTTTGCTTATAACCACAGATATATGGAAAACATATGCGAATTCACGTGTTTATGTAACGATATACTTATATAATACATGTGTAATTATGCAAATTTATTTTTTATATTTTTATTTTAGTATAATATGTGTATATATGTAAGTATGTACCTACAAACATACAACTTTATTTTTAATTAATTTTATTTTTAGTTTGCTATTTTCTTATGCAGATTTTATGCTTTCGAATTTGCATATGCAACAACACATTTATCAACATACAACTATACAAGTACTTATACTTTCAAAACTCTATTTTAATTCTCTCTACTTTTTTTTTCGAATTTTAATTCCTTTAATGCTATTTATGTAAATGAGTATGTCAAATATTTCTATAAGTAGATATTTTATTTATTTTCCACTTTTTTTTGTGTTTAATGGATAAAATTGCGTTTTTTTTAGGGTAATACTAAAAATAATGTACTTAAGTGTATTTTGTTTATTAAATTATTTTTAATACATACACTGATATACGTTACATACATATGTATGTATAATGAAATTAAAGAAGTCGTAATTAATTTTAACAACTTATTCATATTTGTCTCTTTCTATATACTATTGTCATTATTCAAAGTAATTGAGAATTGGTATGCTTTTGATGAGTAAGAAACTCGTTTAATTCCAAATATTTGATATTTTCGTAAATATAATCGAAGATAAATTCCTCAACTGTTTTGCAATTTTATTGGCACAAAATTATGTAAATAATTTTTTTTTAATAAAAAAAAATTAAGTCGAATAATTATTTTCTTAGCTGTTTAAATTTTTCAAAAAACAAAAATTATTATTTTGTTTGTATATTTACTGACATTCTTCGGAATAATTGAGAGAAGAATTTACTGAGAGAAGAAGATTAATTGAAAGAAGATTTTACTTAATAAAAATTTTTAATATTTTATATATGAGGCAAAAATTTTATTAAATTATTAATTGTAATTTATATAAAAATTATACAAACATATTACACATACAGAAAGAAAGGAAAAATTTAAAATACCGATGAAAAGTATAAGGTTTCTGTTATACATTGTATAAGATTAAATCTTAGATGAAATCCAAATCTAATAAAAATCTGACGTGTAATCGAAGTCTGTTATCAGATCATTTCAGTTCTATCATTAGATTTTAATATAACAGACTTGGAAAACGAATGTTATATTAAATCGTACAATTAATCGTATGAAGTTTAACTCCTGCCTATAAGAGATATAATTTAAGCCCTCACTACTAAAGTGTTCCAATAGCATAAATTTCTTAACATTCAACTAAACATATTATTAGTACATTCATATTAGCACATTCATATTTTATTGTTATATTAGCTTTATATTAACATATTATTATTGTTATCATTTGAATTCTTTTGCAAAATTAGTGATTATTGCCAATACATAATACACATACATCCATATATCAAAATGCACATACACATTTATAAGAAACCGCTAGAGCAAAAGGATAGATATACGAATTGTTATACAGCATTTTTTAAGTAAAAGGGAAAGTAAAACATTAAACAATAATAATTTTATAAATTCGCTTAAAAAAAATTTTTAACTTGATATCAAAATTAAATTAATTTCAAACTAAGTAAATTGATTCAAACATATTTAATTCTAAATTTAGTATTATACGTTGTTTATTCAATTATGTTTTATACCATGCCATCGTCAATTTAATATTGTTATATTTTAAAATACAAAAAAAAAAAATATATTTTTTTCTATATGCTAGAATAATTATGCACCCATTTTGTTTTCTTTCATTTTAAAAATACATACATATACATATAAAAAATATTGAAAGCAATATAAAAACAATATGTTTGAAGAAGAAAAACAACAAAAAAAACGACCAGAATATTCATAAACAAACAAACAAACACATAATATGATTGACATTAAGTTATCAACTTTGTATATTCTGCGTTGTTATTATTTTTATATGTAAGTATATTGCAAAAATGCAAAATGAATGCACAATCAATATATCAGAAATTACAATAATTAGTTTTAATTGTTATACATATATATTCGTACAGAAAATTATTGTATTGAAATTAAAAAATTTCTAAATGTATGCAGGTAATAAAAATTATTTAATTTTAATATTACTAAATAAAATTTTATACATACTTATATATTTTACCTTGTAATATAAAAATTTTGCAAAATAATATAAAAGAAAATCCGCAATTTATAAAAATTATATTGTTATATAAGTTTGTCTTAAGAAAAGTAGGACATTAAAAAAAATATTTAAAATCAAAAGCATCACGTCATTCTAACACTTTATATGGTTTTTAAAAATTTTCAATATACAATGTATAATAATTAATATAACAGTATAATATAAATTTGTTATATTATATATAATTATCCTTGATTATATAAGAATTTTTAATACTATTTGTAATTTGTAATTTAAAATAAAAAAATTGTAAAGTAAGTTTGCTTAAGTTTGAAGTTTGTATGATTCTTTTAAATTTTTGTTATACTAAAATAGGTATAAAACATTAAAATTTTCACCAAGATTATGCAAAAAAAAAAAAATGTGCAAGAATTTTTGGTAAAACTTAAAGCATTCAATTTACACAAGTATACAAAAATTTAGTGCAAATAATTGTTTAAAGAAAAGTGCTATGAATAATTAAGAATTTTTTGTTGCTAAATTGAATTATGCTTAATTTACACAGTGCACACAACTTCTTTAAATTTCAAATTAAGTGTATGTAGAATGTAGAAATTAATTGGTGTATATGAGTTGTATAAATTTTCACAAATCTATAAATTATACAAAATTTATTCAAAACATCATAGAATTGAATTTAAATTTCTTGAATGCAAATTAATATTTAATTTTAATTATATAAGACTATGTTTTTCGGCACGTATACATAAAATGTTGTAAAACCAGTTTCAACTTTTTATTTTATTTAAGAATTCTTCAGAAATTTCTATATAATTTTAATGAATTTAAAATATTTTAAAATAACAATGGAAAAAAAATATAAAGAAAATTTAAAATTTATTTTATAACAGTTTTATATATAAGTTTATATAATAGTTTATATATAAAGTTTCATTCTATTACCATTCCATTTTTTTTTTTCTAAATTTTTCGAATTAATATGAAATTATTATTATATAAGAATTTTTAAGTTTCTTATATTACAAGCAAATGCAATATTAATTTGTTATACTCCTTAAATATAGTAATAATAATCCAAAAATAAGTACAATATCTTGGGAGGTCAACGTACCTTTTTTACTTCAACCACTTCATTTAAAAGATTTGTTACACCAACTGATGCAGAACTTGGTATTAAATTTTTTTCAAAAATTTTAACACCAGTATTTAACAAATTTCTTTGTAATAAAGAAAATGCCATTTTTATTTAATTTTTTCTTATAATAAAGAATAAATTTTTATAGTTATTATCCAAGTTCTATCAAAATGGTAGACTTTAATATTTTATAATGAAATTTAAGTTTTTTTTGTTCATTAAAATTTCTTTTAATATTTTTAAAATATTTTTTTATTTATTACTTTATTACACTTCTTTTATTTTTGCCTTTAATTATTGTTTTTTTTTTATTTTATTTTGGAAATTAACCTCCCAAGAATAAATTTATTACTTTAACGAGAAAAAAAATAGAGTTGACCTTGTCAACTCTGTGATACCCGTACGAATTTGTTATCCTATGTGCGAATAACTAATGTGCCATAACTAACTATGGGGCAGACTATGACTTTAAGTTGCCGTATTACCATATTAATTTATGCAAAATTTCAGTACTATGTGTTATTCAAAATACTGGTTGTGCCAAACTACTATTGATGTTGTATGGCAGCTACCAGAAAGAGCCAAGAAATTTTAGCGAATTTTATCAAGCACATCGGTCCTTCTAATATACTCACTTGTGTGAAATCTCAATATCACAGCTTTTATAGTTTCTGAGATATAGTCAAATAACTTTTGAAGCTGTATGGCAGGTACCAGAAGGAGCCAAGTAATTTCAACGACTTTTATGAGACACATTGGCCCTACTAATATATTCGTTTGTGTGAAATTTCAATACCATAGCTTTAATAGTTTCTGAAATATAGTCAAATAACTTTTGAAGTTGTATGGCAGGTACCAGAAGGAGCCAAGTAATTTCAACGACTTTTACCAGACACATTGGCCCTACTAATATATTCACTTGTGTGAAATCTCAATATCACAGCTTTTATAGTTTCTGAGATATAGCCAAATAATTTTTGAAGTTGTATGGCAGGTACCAGAAGGAGCCAAGTAATTTCAACGAATTTTATGGGGCATATTGGCCCTACTAATATATTCGTTTGTGTGAAATTTCAATACCATAACTTTTATAGTTTCTGAGATATAGCCAAATAAATTTTGAAGTTGTATGACAGCTACCCGAACCGGTACCCCGATCATGTCCAATTTAAATAGGGTTCTGGCACTTACTACAATAAATCATTTGTGAAAATTTGGTGAACTTAGCTCAATTAGTTTTTGAGTTATCGTTCGGACGGACGGACGGACGGACGGACGGACGGACGGACGGACGGACGGACGGACGGACGGACGGACGGACGGACGGACGGACGGACAGACAAAGCTAAATCAACTCAGAATTTGACGCTGATCAAAAACATACACTTGAGTCTATATCTAACACCGTTATTTCTTAGCGTTACAAACGGTAAGGCAAATTTAGTATACCCTTCGAACATACGTTCGTACGGGTATAAAAACGTTGTTTTCGATCTCACTGTTGATCAATAAATGCTATTGTTGTTGAAATGTTACTAGACTATAAACAAAAAAAAAATAATGAAAGAAATGTTAAAAAAAAAAACAACAATAATAAAAAAAAAGTAAAGTAGAAATAAAAGAATCAAAAAGAAAACAAAAATAACGGAAAAAAAGAAGAAAAACCGGGACAAAACAATTTCAAAAAAAATAATAAAAAAATAAAAAAAAAAGAGATTTCAACTTTAACAGTAGTGTTGCCGGAGAATTGCAATTGCAGTACTCGTCATACGTAAAAGAATGGCGTACTGCGTAAAGCAATTATTCCAAATTGTCTACTGCAATTCAATTTCTTAATTTTCCTATTTCTTAATTTCTTTTTTAATTTTTCGTCTATATGAACGGTGTTTAACAACAATGTCAAAAATATTAATGAATATCTACGTAATCATCGATTTAAGCGACTTTTGCTTACAATTTGTCTAACCCCTTATATGTACGTGAAATTGCTTTCGTGTGTGTCATATGTTACTTTGGCCTTAAATAATTTCAAAAACTGAACATTTACAGTTTTATTACTTATATATGTATTTTATATTGGTACTGCTTACCGTATATAACATAAAACGGCACCACTAGTTAACAGATTTCGATTTCGATTCTTTGTTAGTGGTAGTGTTGTTTTCTTATACCGTTGCATTGGTGAATCTTATCGCATAATATTATGCTACAGTTTTAAATATTTTCTACACGCATATACAAACATATGTTTTTACAAATACATATGTAATAATATTTTGATGTTGAATAGCCATACCTAGCATATGATTATGTTGTTAATTTTATGCTAAAAAATGCTGAGAATATTTTATTTTTCAAATTCAGCTTATAATTGAATTGGAAAGCAGAATTTTATTATATTTGAATATATGTAGTAAAAGAGGAATGAGCTCTAATAGGTATATATACCTATTTAGTTTTGAGTATATTCTCATAAAATAAGGTTTTAAATGGTTATCTTAAAAGGTAGACAAATTAATTAAATACAGATATAAACAAGAAATATGTATAAAAAGTATCTCGTTAGAAAATTATGGCCAGAAGTGATTTAAAGAGATTATAGAGGGTTTGGCAGGTAAAAATTCTCACCGGGTTTTTTCCGGGGCATCTCAGTAGACTACGTCTGAAAAGTGGGGACGTTTGCAGATTATGTTGGAAGGAAGAAGAGAACTCAGAGTAGACCTTCTAGGAGAGTGTGATGCTCTCCTTCGTAAGAGAATCAATAGTGGAATCAATAGTGAAGTTTTGTTCTCACTTCAGCGGAGTTACAGTCTTCAAAGCCTCATGGGGTGCTCAAGCTCTCCAGAAAGGTGGACTTCAAGAGAGTACTGTAGGATATGCTCCGCACTTAGAGATAAGCGATCGCGAGACATTCGGGGTAGCAATACAAGTCTACAAATCTACAAATATATAAATAGGTATGTTGGAATATGAAATGTATATAAAATGAAATTTCTTTAACTAAAAATACCCTATAGTTGTATGGTTTAAATCATTTTAATTTATGTTGCCTTTCATAAAAAAAATATACATAATTATGCTTGTGTGTGTATAAAATGCAATATACTTTTGGGTAAAGATATTTTATGTTTGTATTTGTAACAAAAAAATAAAAAATTAAGAAGGGAATGATTACTATATTGAGTTTTATTTCGGCTTAAGTATAAATTTTTATTTTATACTACTTCTTGATTTTTTTTCTTTTTGAATATTGTTTTACAACGAAATTTTACAACATTGTTTTCAACTTTTATAATATATTTTGTACTTATCTACACGATACATGGTAAAAAAGTTATTTGCTTTATATGACAAGATTTCACTAACAATTTTAAAAATTTGGTTGATAATTTTGTATAACAGATTCTGTCCAGAATTTTTATAAAAAGTCATAAAGAGTTATTCAATTTTAAAACAATTTTGATGGATTTCGATCTCTGAGATTTGCTGATAATTTAAAATATTTGTTGGAATAGTTTTACAAATTCTAAAATAAATCAATGCAGATAAATAATTGAATTCAATATAGCATTATAACAGAGCAAAATAAATAAATAAACTGAATGCCCAATCCGCTCAAAAAATTCGGCTCGTATATTGATTCAATTAAAATAACTCAATTACTCACTACTATTACCCGATCTCATAGAACATATTCACTATAAAAGGTTTTGTATAATAACAAACTGAAGAAACTAAATACAAATTATTTGCCTTCGTTTATGCTGTCCAAATAATAATAAATACATAACTGAATGCCCGTATTTTACACATACACTTGTAACAACTGAATTTAATGTAAACAATTCAATAATATTACTCCAAAATACAAGAATTTTGAAAATTTTTTTTAATTTAATATGCTTACAAAAACTTCTGCAAAAAATACCTGAATATTGTTCAATCAGGTATAATTATAGATGCTTTTACACAAATACAAGCTTAAATATAAATTCTTCTAAATTGTATGTATGTATGTAAGTATGTAAAAATAGAGTATTATAAAGCGGTAATTTAAGACGTAGAAAATAAATTGTTTATTTCGGCGTTTTTCTTAAAAACAAAGAATCGGGTTTAGCCATGGTTATTTAAAAGAAAAGTTGTTCTTAACCGTTTATTTTGGTATACATTACATATGTATGTAACTACATACCAACATATATATTCATAATTTTAATTCATAAATTTGGCAAGTTTGTAAATTGTTACCACAGTACGGTAATAATTATATGCATGAAAGTAGAATAATAGCAGTTAAAGATTATTTTAATTTTAAGGTTAAATCAAGGAAAATACTAGAATATACAATAAAATTTTCCACCAAATCAAATTGTAATGTAAAAATGAGAAAAAAATTTAATTTACGTTTTTTGTTTACTACATACATATGTATGTACATACATAAAGATATTCCAGAGATTTCTACGATTTTCTATATAATTTCTGAATAGTTGTTAACATAAAATTTACATTGTTGTTATAATTAAATTTTTGTTGTTGTTTTATGGAAGTAAACATGAAATTCTAAAAAAACAGATCAACAACAACCGCTTCATGTCATATAGTTTTATATAGTGTTATACACAATGAACAGAGGTAGAGCATTTCTATATTGTAGAAATAAAAATGCAACATAACAAATGATGTTTCACCAACAAATACTCGAAATATAGAGTGAAAAAAGCTTCTACCATTCAAAAATATCACGAGACCGTCTGTGGTGTTACACGTGAAAATCAGGTGATTTTTACCATTCTGCTTTAGCATACATAAACAAGACTCCCAAAATGAAGTTCTGGAGTATTCTGGTAAAGTAAATTTTTTTAAACATTGTTTCTTTTTTTTTTTTTAATTTTTCTTTTTTTAATAGTTTATTTTTTTTTCTGTGTTATATAATTATTTTTTAACCTTGATCCTTTCTATTCCGTTAAACATATTATTATTATTATTTTGAAATATGAGAACAGCGTTGCAAAACCACTATATATACATACATACAAGTTTTGCTTATAATAAAACATAACAACAATAAGGATAAAATGACATACCAGTAATTTTTTCCTTTACCAACACAATCAAAAATTTTTCCTTTAATTTGCATATATTTTTATAAATACGGAAATATGTAAAAGGAATTGAATGAAGCCATATTATAGGATGTTGTCAAAAACAAAACACCATACTACCTTTTTTGAACAACACTAATTTACAACCACAGACGAATAATTTAACGGAATATAGATAGCATTGTTGCAATATTTACATTTTATTTGAGGTCGTTTACCATTTTATCATATAACAACATTGTTTCC